AGGTGCATAGAACTTTCGGGGTTGGGAACGTATAAATATATTAGGATCAAAAAATTACATCTACCCACCTTCCCCCTATAATACCCAACCCCCAAATTTCAACCCCATCAAAAGTTTTCCTGAAAATGATCAAAAACGACAAACATCAAACAACGAAGCTTGAGTGATTTTCAATTTTTTCGTTTTTGGCTTTAACCTGGACCGGTTTTCAAACACTTCTTCGTCCTTGGCATGGTAGCAACCTTGTGTGAAAATTTCATCAAAATGTCTCATTTTCGAAAATTTTCGCGATTGCAATACTCCTAGTCCAGTAGCGTAAGAAGTGAGAGAATCAGCAATTCAAAAAACATTCATTAAATTAAGCTTGCTGATGTTCTCTAACTTTTTATTTGTCCCGGTGCCACTGTTGGTAAAATCAGTTAAAGTGTCGGCATAGCAGCAGGTTTGTATCAAAATTGGATTAGAATCTGGGCAGTAGAACTATAGAAATAGTGGATCTCTCTTTTCGGTGAAGTTATTCGAAAGGCCTTTGTTCTGCATGCTGCAGTGCATTCGCGTAAATTATACTCGTCTGACAAATATTAGCCAGAGTGATTTTACTGGTTTACACTGTGGTGGTATTGCGTTTGACGCACCAGGTTTAAAAGCATAACCCTGGTAATCGCAGTATTCAAGCAGCCTTCATACCGTGGAGAATAATTCTGGGATAATTTGTTCTTAAACAAACTTTTGATCAGGAAGTTGATGAATATTATATACCTTGTTTTTAGATTAAAGGACAAAAAAACCCTCTTATGTAAAACTTTTGTATAGTTTCTAACTAAGCGCTCACGTGAACGGTCCTTTTTGTGTCCCACGGCGTCTTAGTTATCTCAGAGACCTCCGTTTTTCACGAACTTACAAAAAGTGAACCCTTGCCTGGAGCTTAATGTATGCAAATTGAAATACCTTCGGGGGAAAAAAGCGACCAAATCGGCTCAATGACATATTCTTCATGAGATAACGTTGGAAATTTTCCGTTCTTTGGCGTTAACACGGTTGACACTAGTCGAATTTGTCTGAAGTCTGAATGAATTTCACCCTATTTCTCAAGGGCGTAACACTTGAATTTTAATTTTCGGTGGGGCTTTTATGTTTATCGCGGTATTTTGACGATACTTTATTGTGACACAAAGTATTATGAAGCGTTGATTAACGTATTCAGCCTGAAGATAGTCACGTGACGCTCGTAGACGTAGTTTTGATGAGAATTAACAGTTCTGACTTCATCAGACGTCCATCTTTTTTCGAAACATAAGGAACTTCTTGGTGGAAGTCGGTTGAAAAATGGTAACATGTTGAAAGAAACAGATACTAACTGGTTTAAAGAGGTCAGGTGGAAAATAGTTTAAATGCTTATGGTGACTATGTTGAAAAATAAAAAGAAAGCTCATATTTAACTACATCATATGATATGATTTAGGTTCCTGAATGAAGTTTATCCACTCAATTAAAATATCCAAGTGCCATCTATCCAAATTGGAGATGACGATCTTGTATCGCATCTGGCACCATTAGAAAAAAGGTATTCTGGCATCTACAAAAGGGATCTGAAAGATCCTATCGCTATTTATGAGACAGTAGCAGAACACAAAAATGAACTTAGAGATATACTTTAATGGAGACTATTTCGTGCTGCTACCGTCTCATGGACAGCGCTAGAATGAGATCAAATCGTGAAGATACCCAATCAAGATAGGTATAGGATAAGCACCAAAAAGTGATGAAAGATCCCATCCCCATCTAACATAACCAAACAGTCTCTTTTCGGAGATGTCTAAGTTCATTTTTGTGTTCTAGTACGGTGCTATACTTCAGATCCTTTTTTTAAGCACAGGCTGCCTTCAGGTAGAATATGCTTAATAAAAGTACAGTGTACGGAGTCAGGAGAAAAGGAAACTTTATGGGTATTTAACATGCCTTCTAAACCTCGCACACAATCAAGAATGTAATGCTTAGAGCTCTTTATGCTCTAGGGTAGTAGAGTAATTTCAGCTACTGCTATGTTTGAATTATCCTATGCTGAACACAAAACTGAAATCACGAAAACCGTTTTTACCTATTTGTAGCTTAAACAACGACGTATCTGCTGGTGATACAACTAGTACAGTAAATATATTTATGTGTTAGAAGATACCCAATAAAATGTCTCATATATCTCGGCCCTAGGCACAGTATAGCTGATGCGCATTATAAACAATACTTTAGAATGAACTAAGCACAAAATACTCTTCAGGGTATTGCAGGGGAGGACTTAATTTTCAATATAGATGCTTCGCCACCTCAAAAATGAGTTTTCACCGAGCTTATAAGCACTAAGAATATCCGTTTTTATGGTTTTTTAGACTCTAAACCGCTTAGGTCAATATTAAAGGGAACTTACTAAGGACCTAGGTGTGTCTATGCAAAAAGTTAGGAGGATAATAGAGAAGTAGATATCTAGACAACACTCTCTGAAATTTAGAAGTATCTTGAGATATCTTTGAGAAAGATTGTTTTAACGGTTCTACAGTCTAAGGCTTCTCTTTCGTTACTTACGCTTAGATCCTCAAATAGAGCTTGCCTTTACCTTGCACAGGACGTGAGTCAAACCTAGGTTATTCCAACCATTACCCTACTTCAGATACTTAAGCTACGGCGTACGGCTTCCATTTATCTCACTGGAAGTTGCAAGCACATTTTCTTTCCACTTAAATTGTATAATAATTTTTTAGCCAAACATGTATAATATTCAATATTTGGTTATAGCCGCTTCCCTGTGACGGCGCGGAAAAGGTGGTAAATCCCATGTACCATCCTTTCTGAAAAACGGTTATAATGTCAAGAGGTTGGAGCTCATTGCCATTACTCAACCTTGCTAGGAGCACAGGGGTTGAGGCATAGAAAAGATAGAGGTGCCAAAGGGCCACGCGATCCCCATATTCCATACTATGGTCCTTTTTTGTTCAGAGTGATCCAAAAATCCATATGAATCAACTTATGAATGCAAGATTTTGAATAATCTATGTGTTGTGATCCTGGCCGATTGATTTTATTCCTATACAAAACCCTTACTGAAATGCGTTATGTTTTCAAGAACTTGCTTTTGAGTTATATTTGTTTATTAGCAGAACTATGAAGATATTAGATATCAAACCTCTAATTCATTTTGATTCTTTTTGGAATGAAATAATATGCAAATGATCCCATATATGCACGCACATGTACCGGAAATAACAGAGCAACTGTGCAGGCATTATCTTGCATATGTCAAAAGTGTATGATGAATTTCATTCCGGTCTATAAATCATGCTGAATAATTGACTTGTTCGTCATATTTGTCGTTTGATTTTGCTCGGGAAGATCGATCAGCACACACAATACTCCATCAGCTGTGTTGCCGTTCGGATTTTTAACATTACATAATTGAACCATTATGGGGTTATACAAGAGCCTTTAGACTTTAGTTTGAAACAGTAGAGGAATGTCAATCAGCAATTCATGGAGAGTATGGAGCGTACCGATTTTCAGGGGTCAAAGATTCCCAACATACCCATTAGTTTATTAAAATCCAATATTATTTCAAAAAATAAGTCAATCAATTACGCATCAGATTACTATTTCAAGTGATCAGGATAGTACGCATTACATCACTAGCTGTAGTTTTGTTCCCGCGCCGATAATCTAAAATTTACAAATTAATTCGTTCTTTGACATGAAATGTGTAAAGTCAAAGAAGTGGTGGAGGCAGCAATGCATAACAAAGACTCGGCACCGTTCCAAAATATAGTATTTCTAAAGACAAACAAGGCTTTGTAAATCTTCCAAAGTTATTTTCTTTTATGGCTCCAATACTAAACGCAGTAATGGAAAGGGTATTTCTCATGCTAAATTAATTTGGTCTGAGTGGCGAAACCGTTTGACACTTGGGCATGTCAAATCAAATCCTTGCAGTGAATTTTATATCCAAGTTATAAAAAGAAGGCAATCCTAAAGCTGGCAAAATCTAACGCAAACATAGGTTTGCCTTGATTAACGTAATCTATCTGAAGATACTCAAATAAAATTTACGGATGATTAATATCCAGTGGCGTAATTCATAGGAACTTATGGATTCATGTTCTCTTCTATTATGCTTTCGAGAGAATATCACTTCATTTTGGGGGACCCTTTATAGGAAAATTCGCTAATTTTTACTGATTTGAAGGTTTGGTTTGATGGAGTTGAATATTAACACTGAATTTCCTTGTTCATACTGCCAATATCTTATATACCCGGGTACATATAACAGATCATTAGGTGAAAGATGTTCTCAAGTGACCATAACCACGTCTCATGTTGTTACTAATCTTCAAAGCGGTATGAAAGGTCTAGTCTTGTGAAGACGGACAAAGATTAAGTGAACAAGTGGGTGGTCCACAGAAATCTCAGAATGTTGTTCGAAGAAATGTTCATCCTTGTCTAAACAATACTTCAACAGCAGTTGCTGGTCTAGTGATCTAGATAATTTGAATTCCGCCGTTCACCCTTTTTGACCTTCCTGATTATGACTGTATTGAAATTAACTAGACCATAAAGTCCAGACTGCAAACAGCACCAAAACCTTATTTGGCAAACATACCAGCGTCGCCTAGTTCACGGTTACTAGGTCAAGCACGTTTTCGACACACTATCCAGGCACGTCATTTCGTCATTCACAAATTCACAACACGGGACCGACAAAATCGAAAAAACCTCCGACAACTAACTTTTTTCCGATTTACCAACCGGCGGATAGTGAAAGTAGATGACAGAACGTTACATCATCGAGATGAAAACACGAAACCCGCAAATCTATATTGCGCTGCGTCCAATTTATTTTAATACTGTTCAGAAAAAACCGCAAAGCCCAATTGAAGCGGAAAACCTTATTACACACGGGTATAAATACGAATTTCAAAATAGAAATCGGCCAGTCACTTGGTGCCAGTTGACAGTTTGAAATGAGGGTGCTTGTGTGGTGTCTAGGGGTGCTCCTAACCCTATCTTCCACTCACGGGAGTGTACTTCGCGATGAAAAAGCTTTGGCGGACTTGGAAATAGCTGCACGAGTGGTTCGCGCCACAGCTGATCACGACTTGGTCCCTGACGCTTCCGAACACCATAAGAACCACCACCATGAAGAAGGGGGTGGTCACAAAGGACATTCAGAACACCATGAACACCACAGTGACAAAGGGGAAAAGGGATACAAGAGTGAACATCATCATGACAAGGGGCACAAAGGAGAACATGGAAAACATCACCAAGCGGGACATCACAAAGAGGAAGGTGGGCATCACAAGAAACACCATGATGAGGCAGGGCATCATGGACAGCATCATGCTGAGGGAAAAAGTCACAAAGGAGGAAAGTTTGCTGAGAAGAAAGGGCATAAGAAAGGACAGAAGACCACAGGGTACGGTGATGTTACAAAGTGTGAATGTTGAGAGTGAAACGAAGTATTTTGTGATAAAATGCAGTGTAGTGTTTGTTCTCTGGAGAATTGGTAGGATATGGTTAGATGAAGGAAGCACGAACTCTGACGCAAGTTAAGCAAGCTCTTTCCTGGAATCATGAGGTAAAACTGTTGGAATCAGAGAATCTATGAAAAATGCATTTTTCGTCTTTAGACAAAAGATTCAAATGAGCAAAGTACGTAATTGTCAAAGGTACAAGAAGATATAAACATTTTCAAACTCACAAGACTTAAATGTTTCATTTATAAGATGGAATGGAAATACTCAAACAACCTTACACTGCTTTTTCAGTTTTTCGATATATCAGGAATAAACATATAACCATTTTTATAGGTTTTGACGAATAAAATTTCACTGAATAAAATAGGATAAATTCAAGAGTACATTATGAAGCAGATTTTTTGCTTTAGCTTGTAAGACATGGCTGAGTGATTAAGTCAACCCTAGGCTAATTTCAGCTAGAAATACAGCAATGTTTTATATTATTTGCATCCCCAGTACATTACCTTATGATTTCATTGCTTCATTTTGCTTTGGTTATACTGTCAGTGTAGATCTTCCTATATCACAACATATCTCCCAAAATCCACTACCGGAGTTAGTCCAAATTTTCTGACACTACAGCTTTGATAAGTGCCTTTTCATGCAAAACGTCACCAACTAATTATTTGGACGGATTAAGTTAATAAGCTTAAATTACAGTTTGTAAACGGAATGAAGGTCAGGTGAACGTTTTTGTTGAATCTCTTATAACTCAACAACCAGTCGTCTTAAGCTATAGTATGTTACATGAGCCTTTTTGTTGAAAAAAAAGCCTTCCTTATATCAAAATTTATCACTTTTATAAACGGAACGTACACCATTTTGGGAGATACTAAATTGTGCTCTAGGATTATAAAGCACCCATAAGGAGCTTCCAAACACATGACCCTGTGGTCCATTGAAAAATTTTTATGGGATTTGTCGAGCCATGGAGAAGCTTTAAGCTTTCAGAGCTGGCCTTCTCATTAACTTGACCTAGAGCTCCATCAAATCAAGAGTTGTGTGAAAGACTATTGTTATTAAAATAGTAGTAGTAGTTGTGCCAGAAGGTTGAGATACAGTGAATCAGTAGTTTTTTCAAGGTTGTTAGTAGGTTCAAGGAGATTTTGAGTTATACGTTATGGCACACTTCGGCCCTTTTTCCCTTTTGCCTGTACTTATGGTACACTTATATTGAACATTATCCACAGCTGTAGAATTGTTTTCTGATTACTTCTAGGAAAGTTCGTATATAGACCGTAACTAGCTAATGTCATGGTAGCTGTTTGTAGATATTCAAGCAACTTAATTTCGAAACAGCTGTTTTGTACGCACTTAACACAAAATGCTTTGCCATTTTTGCCTGTAACTATAGCCAGTTACATAGTGCACGCTGCGTTTTCAGAACAAACGGACCTCAAATGGCAGCACACCACAGTGTAAATTGCATTTCATTGTTTTCACGTTATAGTTCAGGAAATTTAGACTAGATTTTCAGACGGTGACGGAAATACGCTGAGGGTGTAGTAATTATAATGGTACGAAACTTTGGAAGGTGATTCACTATGTCGTTTTAAAACAAAAGTTTCTATGAACATCTGTCCGGAGTTGCTTTGCTTCTGAGATACAGGGCGTTGAAGTTTTTTGCGAAAAAGTTCGCTAATTGCTGTTTTTGTGGTTATTGCATTTTTTAGATTAAGAAACTGAAAATACAACTTTTTGTTTTTTGTGTTTTCTTCAAACTTAGCTTTGTTTTACATAATGAAAATAGCTTTAACTCATTCTAAAGACTTGAATGTTTATTTTCCTAATAATCAAGATACGAAGAAAACAAAAGAGACCAAAACAATGTATTTTTGGTTGCTTAATCTAAATAAATAAAAAAACTGCTAAAAAAGGTCAATGGCGCACTTTTTTCTAATAATATGGCTGCGGTGCCCACTGACCTAATAATTTCAATCTAGTTAGAGTTATTACTTCAAAGCATTGCACCAAATGTCAACCAAATTGGCCTAACGCTATTTATGGTATATATTTTATAAAGAACAACTTATCACTTCAAACCATTGCACCAAATTTCAACCAAATTGGTTTAATGATATTTATGATATTTTATAAATAACGTCTCATCACTTCAAACCATTGCACCAAATTTCAGCTAAATCGGTTTAACGATATTTATGATATATTATAAATTCGGCATTTTTTTTTTCAATTCCAAACAAAGCAATTCCGGACATGTGCTTATATGAGCTTTTTTCATAGGACCTCCCAACGAATCAGTCCCAGTAACTGTCTGGTGCTATAGATAGAAAACGCCCTGTAGACTTATGTCGGCATCACATATGGAGAGTGTAATGCCACATACCTACACGAGGTGGGAAAAATTGCTCAAAAGGTAGGCGTCAAGCAATTACAAAACGTTTCGCCGAATCCAAAAACTGGAAAAGATGCAGGGTATATCATTTAATATGATAAAGCTGGTATTGTGTTCCGGAACAAATGGAAGTATCACAATTTTGAAAATACGTTATCCGAATTGCTTTCATTTTACCAAAACTTTACGGAATTGTCGAGCGCTTTGTGAGACAGACGTGCATGGCCCTTTGGTTTGCGAGCTCTTTCCAGATGTCTAGTTAATCCATTTTTCACATTTTTCACTGGACTACTCGCAGATCTTATGTTTCCGCATTTCCACGTTTGTGTCCGTGGAAAACGATAATGGCGGTAAAAATATAGAAGCTTTGAGATGCGAAAGTATTGTGGCGGGTACTGCGGTGTGTGACTATGGGAGCAGAAATGCGCTCAAATATGTTGATGCGGTGTTTACTCTGGAGTCAGCTGTATAATATTTCGTTTGTGCATTTAGATCAATGCCGGAATATTATTAATCGTCACGGGTCTGTTTCAAGGCTTGATATTAAATATGAACACCACGAATATTACACATTTGAAGCATCAACGGGAGGAAAGACTGCTTTTTTATTCTTTAGCCAAGACGCAGGCCTAAGGATTCAATATCCGTGGATACTGTGGGGAAAAAGAGGGACGTCACTCAAACTGTAGCTTAAGAACACACATGCATGTGACCACGCCCTAGAGATGGGTGGTACCTCCACGCTCGACAGTCTACAACTACCTCACCACGCTGCCTGCATTGATGCATGAATATTGTGTTTAAGTGTAGACGTTGCTGTGCTCTCAAAATATTTATTTCTGACTTCCATCGTCTTAGAATAATTTAAAATATACGTCGTTCCGATCGATAAGTTATCTTCGATGGTCTCCAGGTGAACGGTCTAACAGTATACAAAATTTGACAGAAATCATATAATTTTTATTTATATTCTTTGTCACTGAAGAACATTTTCTACTAGTTATTCTTGTTCCTCGTTTTCAAGAATTGGCATCTTTGAAACACTCGATGATAAAGCTCTTCTCCCGACTGCATTCTTCATCGCGTACAGTTTAGACGACAGAGAGACTCGGTTGATTGTCATCTGGTTGGAATACAAAGTATTTACAAAGCAAACCAGGAATGGTTTTTCTATGTATAATAAACACGGCTAAAATGAACCTGGTTGCTTTCTGTCACCTGTGACTATGACCAACCGCAGACAGCGCTGTTTTGTGATCTTTGATGGTTTGCCAAAGCTGCTATCGTTCTCAACCCATCCGTTGAAATATCAGAAAAAAAACACCTACGTCTTCAGGCTTATAACTGACCGATATCGGCACTATGCACAGATAGATGTCCCACCATCAAAACGGTCATAGTCTAGTAATATGAATACCAGTATTAAGCATTCAGGAACCCATGACGTAGGGGTCTTTCTGGCATTCCGACGTGTGGAAATGGTAGCAGTTTTTTCAAACCATCGGTAGGTGGCTATCGTGAGATTCCTCATCTATCATAAGAGCTGGTTGATAACTACTCCTCCTGTCCTACAGCTACCACCACAAGTCCCACAAAGACGACTACCATAAAGAGCACAAGTTCTACGATGACTACCACAAGGGCGGGCACCACTCCAAACACGGGGAGTTCAACGGCCACCATGGCGGAAAGAGCGGTCACCACAAGAAGGGCGGCAGCCACAAGAGCGGCCACCAAGAAGACCACCACGGGAAGAAGGGACATTCCGACAAGGGCCACTACGACGAGGATCACAAAGGGTTCAAGGGCCATGGAGGACACGAGTCTCACCACTCACACCATTCCGACTATGGAAAGAAGGGAGGACATGCCGGTGGCAAGGAATACGGCTTCGCAAACGAGCACAAAAACTAAGGATAAATGGGAGGTGGTGCCTCGTGTGGTCGAGATATGGAGGAGGTTTGCATACCATCCTCCTATCTCGAGTGCACAAGTGTTGGTAAACCCAAGGATTTTCAGGGTACGGGATAAGGTGTGGTGGACATATTCTATTTTCAAGTTGTTAAAGGGAAGACTATAATACAGATGTTACGCTTGAAGACCAAAAACGCTCATTGAGCGGAACATTTGCACCGCATTGTGCTTACTGTAAAACAACGTGGGCATCGAGTCATAGCTTGAATAAAAACGCTCATGATGCCTTGCGGCAATCACAGAAAGACCACATAGCGATTTGAGAAACGGGTCCTGCCATTCTTAGGGCATATATTTCAGCCTCTGACAGGGAACAGACAGATAATCTCCTTAATGCTCTTTCAGCTGGTAAAGAACCGCTGCATTGCGTATTTGTCATTATTAAATTAATATAGTATAAAGGAATGTGTTACTAAAATGTTACCACGATGCGTTGCGGACGCATAACACGACGACAGCGACACGAATGTGAATGTTTTGCAGTAACCAATCAATGGTCATTTTCAATCTTTGTGCTTAACATAAATGCTAACAGTTTATTTCAATTCTGTATGCATAGTAACTTAGGACTGACGATAAAAGGTTGTTCCGCGCATATCAGACATAATAAAAGGAAAGAATTTTATGTTAGGCTTGTATCGTTTTATCAACAAGCTTCCCTTATCAGTTAATCTCATAGTGAGAATAATTGAACGTTGTTATTTAAAATAGTATAATGCAGAGTACATTATAATGGTTATTGTGTTACTCTTTGCGTCACTAACTTCTTTAACTTCCTTACCTGAAAATAAATATAAGTCAATTAAGTCTTGGATCCGTATTTTCTATTTATCTTATAAATTTTGTTTTACCTAACGATATAACTTTTTGATGCACTGTAATTCCTTTGCTTTACGTTTTACATGAGTATCCACTTCAACTACCTGTAATTCTTTTACTATATACTTGTTTAAGCGCTAGTCTTTTTTCACATCAATTAATTGTTCTTATGCCCTATTGTCTGCTTAAAAAAGTTTGGATTACACACGAAATTCACTTCTACCAGTCCCATCAAAACTAGTTTTTCTGGTAACTTCTAGATGGTCATAAGATTTTGTCTATTGATATAATCCATTTTCTAAAATGTATGTTTTAAATCCAACACTTCTCAGATGTCATGTTTCCTTCTTTGATGCCCTCTTTCTGTCTGCATATCCTCTTTGAATCAGTCTTCCACTTTAATCACTTTAAATTTGTTTCATTTTAATATGTTTCCCGCTTACCGACTCTAGTATGCATGTGAAAACACAACTTAAGCACTGTTGCAACAAGCCATCGAACTAGTTCTGAACTGAACCTAGACTCTGTGTCTGCCATTTTGTGCCTCTACTAAATTTTCAACGTTCTATAGATCAAAGTTACATTTCAACCGCATATCGCGCTGGTTATAACACATATTCAAAAAAATGGGCGACGCTGAAGATTACTTTGGAATAGATTCAAATGAAGATGAAAATCTTGAGCTGATTATATATGTTCAACGAGCTAGAAATAAAATCCGCAGAGTCGTGTGATGATAATGTTAAAGAATATTTATTTCAACCATGCTATAAGTAGTATGAATCGTATATGTTCCCTCCATGTCAAGTCAATTAATAGCGTAGTTCTATTAACATTCCACGTAATTTCCCCTTCTGCTACTGTACCAGAGCTTGCTTCCTCTTAAGGCAAAATGATGAATTCTTCCAGCTCTAAAAAAAACAAACTTCGTACTACTCCCTTAATATTTCACCAAGCTACTAGTAGCTTGTTAACTATGCCACTATGCTTTCTCATTTTTTTTTCACTCACAGTACATCAAAGAACAATAAATTATCTAATATTCTACATCTGGCCTACGGAAATTTTAGATTTTACTTCAATTACGACGACAACCCAGATAGTTTTCTGTTCCATCAGAATACCATATGAATAGAAAACTAGTAATAAACTGCACCTGCTTGCTGGGATAAGCCTTTAGTGAAGACACTTCTAGATTAGAATGCTATAGTTTTCCTCTCATGTTCTTTGAACTTACCACACTCAGTGCCAACTATTTGCTTTCTTTGACTTTATCGGATACATTTTAACTAGATCAATAGCTATAATAAATAGGAAATTCTTTTCAATGACGAAAATGGAATATGACATCGTATTTATCCCGCACTTCTGCTGACTGCTTTAATGATCTACATCGCCAGGCGATGATTTTTTTGTTATTTATGTTTTTGTTGTAGTATTTATGTGTAAACGTTTAATATGTGTAAATAAAGTTGTTTATTTATCTACACCTGAATAAAGATTGATTTTCAAGGATTCCTTGACTGAGCAATGCTTGGGTTGTTTACTCAGTTGGGCGTGTACTTGATGCGCTGGTATCGTACTTCTATACGGGAAAAAGTACAACTGCCATACCGGGCGAACTGAGAGAGAAAACCCAACTGTACCTTCAGTGATATCGTGATCACATTCATTTCAATGAGATTTTTTATATTCATTCGAGTGCCGTTTGTAAACATCATAAATAAATATTATTATCTTACAGACTGTCACATTTGACAAGTACTGGTATACTGAAGTAACAATAAGTAAGGCAGTAATAGACATTTTTAAGTACAACAAAAATGACGAATGTGTTCAAATTGGACAAGAAATGAATAGGTTCATAATCATAGAACCACAGGAAGACAGGTGACCACAACATATAACAAAAATCGAGACAATGCAATTTGTTAAAAAATTACCTATTTCTTGCACTTATCTTAACCTGTGTTCTGAGAATAGTATTTCCATTATTTCTTGTACAATGTGTTTGTAAAATATGTAATTGCTTCAATTAAGCTTATCCAGCCTTACAAACGCAACAGCGCCAGATAAGGACAATATAACCTTATTAAATACGAGTAAGTCCTTCCTTGTTTTCTGTAACTAATATTTCGATAACCAATAACGGACTGTCTCGTCACTGCGCAAACTTGAAATAAGGAAGATCATAACGGTACAGCTTATGTAAAAAAACCTATAAAACGACAAAAACAAAAAATCAACAAAACGTCATCTTGCAGAATAGGTAGTTTTCAGGGTAGAAATAGTTCATTCCACGTTTGCTCGCTATGATTGTTGTAAGCGTCCATCTATGGAGGAATGACTCAACTACATGCATTGTTGGTTGCAGGAATCAAGTATATGTTTTATGAAGCCGAGTACGAGTAGTCTGTAGAGAATATGTGAATGAAAGAAAGTTGGTTAAATAGCAAGATCGCATCTGGGTGTGCATAATATCAAACTTATAAATTACGATTATTCCAATTCTTTTGTGTTTTTAAAAACCTTGAGGAGCACTACGGGAAATCGCCACCGCGCCCGTTATGTGTGCATTTAAGCCACGTCACGGAAAAATTATCATCAGCACATATTAGCAGACAAATCCTCACTATGCACGTATGCACTGCCGTATCATTTTAGCTATAGTATACAACTTACAGCTTAAGACCTCCAATAATGCCATCTCTGAAGCAGATTTTACATCACATCAGAGTCAGACATTGATAACTGAAGCATCATGATGTTTAGGCAACAAGTACAACTACAAAACGAGTTCACAACAGGTGTCCATCAGCTAGTGCTAAGTTAACATCTTGTAGAAGAACCTACTAAATGTCACAAAAAATAATGTCGAAAAAAACGACATGTCACTTTTCAAGATAGGTAATATCCTAAAAATTCTCTAGTGTAGATCTGACAGTATTCGCTATGTCAACTTTTATTGTGGCATCTCACATAACCTCACTTACTTTGCCATGCTGCCATTTTGATGGAAGTGCGATACTAGCGCTCCGGCGGTCTTTAAACAGCGTCAACTTATCACGTTGTTTCCCTAACTGGCACGTAACTCTGCAACTAGATGTCACTGATCGACAGATGCCAGCACAACGATGTAATTTGAAATGCTTCGTAACAAATTTTGTGGCATTGATCAATCTTTCTGAGCCGTTTGAGTCGCCTTGTGCGCAGGACCAGTTAAGCACTAGTAAGATATAAATTGAGTGGTGCAATGCCATCTCTTGGAGAAGAGCAACACGAATATAGTATGGATTGAAGTACGGTGTAAGAATGATCTCATGACTGTGGTACTCTGTGAGTCAACACCACTATAGGCTAAGGGATGGCGCAATACTTGTTGATTTACACGGTGCGCTGTGCTCTGTATAAGGGCTAAGAGTAGAGTGATCACATGAACATTATTGTTGATGTTGCGTTAAAGGATTAGCTTTGTACGCAGTTTAAGTGAGTTGGTACTGTGTCATCCCGTGGAACGGTGTGGTGTTAAGGCACGGAACAGCACGACTCTATGGTTACCTAGCCACAATCAAATGTCAAGGCGCCACCTCTGATTGACTAGCGCAAGCTGTAGTTTGGCGTGCGCACAATTACTGACAATTAGGTCAGAGGATGGAACCACGGTTCTGGAGAGGAATATAGTTCAGGTAGAGGTAATTTGGGGTACCATATTAAATCCAGTAACAAATCTAGGGTGTCGTGAAGCAATAATCACTATATAAATAATAAAATTATTACATAAAAGACTGAATAAGGGAACATCACAATAGGCTAGTAATTGTAAAAGGGAAGTAATTGTAAAAGGGAAGTAATTGTAGAGAATAAAGGTAGTGTTATTTGAAAACTACTGACTTTTTACTTTAATAATGATTTTCTGCGTTTATGCTTAAAAAATATATATAAAATATTTGACATGGGGTGGAAAAATAACTATTTTTGTTAAATAGCCTCAACAATATTATATTTTTCATTCGTAACCTTATTACATTTTCCTCAAGTACGGCAGTATGCGTCTTTGAAGTGTTAAAGTCCATTCACCATCCATTCAGTTATTTTTCGATGGTCATATGTGAACGTAGCTT